GAGAGAGAGAGAGGGAGAGGGAGAGGCAAAAGCTGGAGTCTACACCAAAAGCAGACTTCTGTAGATCCAGTCACTGGAGGGTTCAAAAATCTTTGATGTGGACACACACTACTGTGGCTAATGTGTAGAAAACACTCACTCATAATAATATTATAATAATATTAATAAAAATCCCCTCCTTTCATTGGTACTTTGTGAAGGGCTTTATAAAAAAAGTACATCTGGTTACTCATAACACTTCTGTGTTTTATGTATTAGTGAAAAGAAAGTAGATGTGCCCAAACTTACTAAACTTTGGTAGTTTGATGAGTTCAAATGCAGAAAAGAGAGAGAAAACACACTTTAATAAAACTGAATCATTTTAGCATTTAATATGAACATTTTTGGTTTTTAATGGATATAACCATTGGAACTCCTTGCAAGTTCTGAATGAAGTCCAATGTTGAAATAAATTTGTTTCAAAAGAAAACAGAGAAATAAGAAAGAGGAGAAAATGGATCCATCAAATACTGCGGAAGAGCAGTAAATTAAAAAATTATCAAAAATGCAGTCACAGCACTGAGCAATGTGGATTAAACAGAAGCTGCAAAACACAGGAGAAGACAGACTCTGAAACGGGCTATGACATCACAAACGTGGACAACACATTAAATAACAGAGAAAGAGAAGAGCGAGAAAAATCAATACCTAAAAATTAAAAATAAATAAAATAAAAATAAAAAGAGAGAGAAAACTAAAAAGAAAAATTAAAATTCTCTAGGAGCTTGTGGAAACAGCAACAAGACCCTACCTGATCGTAACTGCTTAATACGGCCATTGTTGTTGCTTGTGTCGACAGGTAAGAAATCTTTGAACCAAGTGATTTCTGGATCCGGATTCCCACTGGCTGCACAAAGCATGGTGGCAGTGCGTGTACGCTCAACCACCTTCAACTGTGGGCCCATGTCAATGGTAGGGAAGCCCCTGGGAATTTGATCCTCTGCAAGACAAAAGGTGATACAAACATGTTATCAAGTCAGATACCCAAGACTCAAGAGATATTGACCATTAACCTCTCCCATTAACCTATCATTTGTTGAGAAGCTAACACAAACTAGGTAGCATTGCACTGTTACATTAAGGAACGTTGTTCCTGGCCAGAAGGGTGAACAGTCTAAGGAAGAGGCCAACAGCCTAACAAGGAGCTCAGACATGTGTGATAAAAACCATGACCAAGGAATGGATCAAGTTCTGTGGGAGCAGAGAAGAAGTCACTCTACAGTATGTGTCTGATGAGGTCAGTGAGCACCAAGAGGAAGCTGTGCAATGAGCCTTTAGGAACAAGTTGAGTTGGCCAGAAAGAAAGGAACGTCATTAGTACAGGCACTGAGAAGAAAACTTTTCCTTGGGGGAAAACCATTGATCCAAAAGAGCTAGCTTTACGAGGACATGGTGAACAAGCAGGTTAGCTGGACCAAGGTATCTGTATTTGAATCTGTTATGTTTTTCTTTTAACTTTTAGGTAAAACTCTGTATATTTTTTCACCCAAGCACAGGTTCAACCTGAATGAATTCCTTTGTAGAGAGTTTCAATTAGTCAGAAAAGTACCTGAAAGTCTCCCTTACAAAAGAAGAAAAGAACAAAAGCAACTCAAAAATGCAACACAGAAGCATACATACATTCCTTAGGGTAAGAGAATACTTTCTTCCATTCCAAAGGCCTACACCATTTTCAGTCATTAAAAAGTTGAAACTCCTAAATTTTGAATCTTCAACTCATCCAAAGTTCATTTCTCCCTACCCCACATCAAAATTGCCCCAGATATCAGATCTTGAGAAATTAAAGTCCTCCTAAGTCCCTCAAGCATGACTACGTTGATACCCTGCATGGCCAGCTCTTCCAGTTAGCATTAGAAAGGTATATTATTCTATTCAAGGATTGAAGGAATTTTAGTTAAATGGGTGAGAATTATCTAAATTAGAACTTGGGTGTTTGTTTGAAGACTATTATGAAACATTTTGGCGTCCAGTTGGGCCAGGTGTTAATGTAATCAACATTCCAACATTCCCTCATGACCTCTGATGAATTGTCATCAGCCACCAATTCCAAAATGACTCTAAAGCAGAACCAGTGAGCAAAACAGAAACCATCAGGTGTGGTACCTAGCTTCTACTTGGAGGTCTCCCACAATTTCTGGTATGATCCTCTGAGTCTTGCTAAAGATGCACAATTTCAAGGGAAAAGGTTACATTTTGATGACTCCACTGCACTGTTGACCAAATCTATGTGTTCTCCACTCTCTCTATACTTACAGGGTAAACTCAAATCTCCTAAATCTGGCTAGCGAAGTCTTTTAAAATCAGGACCCATTTTTCTCAGCCTCTCATGGATGACCTCCCTCATAGGAAATGTTTCTTCTGCCCACAATGAAATTCTCACCATTCCCCAGACAAATCATATCCGACGAGTACAATGTCTGTGTCTCTAGAAAGCCACACAACCAAAATCATCTTCTTTATAAAACTTTTCAAAACTCTCTCCAACAGACTTAATCTTTTCCTCCTCATATCAACTGCAGTAGTAAGTACCTAAATCCACTGTCTTGTATTTTTTAATTCTCATCAGTTTATCCTTCTGTAATACAAATTTCTCCATGCCTCACTTGCATCCAAATCCCCTGCCATCAAGTTAGTCTGGGTTGACAGATTTTGAGAGAACTCCAGTGATTTCTAAGCCTAAATATGAATATATCACAGTGATTAAGAAGTTTCCTACTACACATAGTAGAAAACTACTTATGGTAGAGAGTTCATCAGAGGAATAGTTCAGAACTAGAGAGAGAGACTGGCAATGTGATTAGTAAAAGAATGTCAAAATGCTACCAAAGATTAAAGCTCCCAAGAAAGGGAAGATATCCTGAACATTAAATCCAGGTTTCTGTAAGAGAAAATCAAGGCGCTAACAGGGAAAAGTAGACTCTGGTTCTCCCAAGGGAGTTTTATGAAAAGTCCACAAGAAGTTGCTGAAGCAGCTGGGTTTGACACATGGATTCACCAGAGGATATTTTCCTGTCCCACCAGCTAATTACGGCCAGAGACTAAAAAAATAGTTAACTTCGATGAGCTACATTTTACTTAAGTTGAAAGATGTGGCTCTTCTGAGGAAGCAGTAGTAATACTTTCCATTTATTTGAATGCTTACACGCTGCCAGCCAAGCCTAGGTCTACGGTGGACAAGTGTCAGAAACAGTGGTTAAGAATGGAATTTCAAGATGATTTTTCAAGGTTCCAAGGGAAGGTTAAAAATTACAAGTCAGATAAAGAGCATTTTGCAAATTAGGCTATGCTAATTTTAATACTCTACTCCACTTGAATTTCATCAGACTTTTTTTTTTTAAATGGCTTTAAAGCTTTAGTCAATGTGTTGACATCTAAAGCTTAGTTTTAATGTTATTTGGGAAAATAAAAAGATAAAGCAAAAAGCTCAATAGCCATTGTACCACACACATTATATTATTAAACATCTCACTCACCAGCTATTGACCCAGAATGCTTCAAAGAATAAAAATCATTTCTCTCAAGTGCCCCAAAATCAACTGCACTGCCTTAGACACCTAGAAATGAGTTTCTAAAAAAGCTCTTATATTTTGTTGTTGTTCATTTCCATATTGAAAGCAATTAACTTCAGTTAATAAAAAAATCACCTTGGTATTCCTGAGCTGTTTCTGTCTTTCCCAGGACATTGAGTCACTCCTGTGGCATCTAAGTACTAGTTACATCCACATATGCAGAAACACTGCTCTACTAGTCATCACTTTTCTTCTACAAGTTCATCTCTCTGAACCACACGCCAATATTCTATACCTATATCAGTGGCAAATGTCAAGGACTTGAGATTGTTGAGCCACTTACTAAAGGCTCTTACCAAAGAAATTTAGAATTAATAACCATTTATAAGAAATGAAGACCTCACCTTGGGGAGAGCTGACAAAATTGACTTGTGCCCTATGGAAAGCAGTCTAATACATTTGCATGACCTTTCTTTTCCTTCTTAGCTCATAAAGAACACTCCAGAGCCCCATTTCCATATACACAAGCGTACAACAAAGATAATCTTTCTTGCATACTAATCAGACAAAGGATGTAAAGAGAGCTCCTTTCTTATTTTTAATAAGGGTAATTAAATTCTATCCATCCCCCCCTTTGCATAGAAACTCTTTTAATGCACTTTCTTCATTAAATTTTCATGAGAAACATCACAATGTAACAGATTCAAATAGCCAGTGCTGTTACACATTGACAGTTGTGGCTTGTTTCCAATTTGACTGTCAGGTATTTGGCAATAAAACTCAGTATTCAACATAAAATGAACTGTAGAAATAATGAAATTTCTAATTGGTATGCTTATCTCAGTGGGCGTAGTTTAGAAAACATTAATTGCTTTTTCTTCACCTCTACATTTATTGGTGATTTATATAAAACTGCCTTGGCCATTTGATAACATCAATTTTGACAGCTCATCAAATGTATAGTACCAGGAACTTGAGAAAAAAAAAAAAATCAATACCCTTTATATGTTAACCACACAAACTTTTACAGGAAAATACAGAAGCAAAAATTAACAAAGTGTCTTAATGTTAGTAGCTTTAAACTTTTTACACAAGTGAAAAGAAAAGCATTTTGTCCTATTCACTAATGTGTTCATTAAGCTTTAAAATGCCTTACTTATTACCGTTCCATATTAATAGTCAATCACGCAGGATTAGCTACTAATTCATCAACAATTTAAATCAGACTTGACCTTCACAAAGCCATTTGGTCCGTCATTTTGAGAGGCCATTAAAGGGCAGATTACTACATACTTGTGCGTAGTGAATCATAGAAGTCATATATGTTAACACACAAACTTTTACAGGAAAATACAGAAGCAAAAATTAACAAAGTGTCTTAATGTTAGTAGCTTTAAACTTTTTACACAAGTGAAAAGAAAAGCATTTTGTCCTATTCACTAATGTGTTCATTAAGCTTTAAAATGCCTTACTTATTACCGTTCCATATTAATAGTCAATCACGCAGGATTAGCTACTAATTCATCAACAATTTAAATCAGACTTGACCTTCACAAAGCCATTTGGTCCGTCATTTTGAGAGGCCATTAAAGGGCAGATTACTACATACTTGTGCGTAGTGAATCATAGAAGTCATACATATTTTGTTTGGAATGGCAGCTATAATAGACCTGGAAATATAGCACATTCTTTGAACCTGTTTGGGGTCTTAATAAAACATGCTGATATGAAACTTTCAATTCCATTAAGGAAAGAGAAAAATGAACCTCAGCATTTTTCAAAGTCAACTTCCCATTGCTGTAAAACTTTTGTCAATAACCCCTAACCTCTCCAGGACTTAAAGGAATGTATAGGGAAAATAGCCCAACTTTGTTTTGTAGGGAGTTATGCTTTAGATATCTGTGAATGATAAAGTAATAGCTTTTGCATAATTTGCTCAAACTACTTTCATTGTTCAACCATAAACAATTTTAGTGATGCTTTACTTTTGCTCCAATTCGACAAAACTCAACCTCTCTTATTTGATAGCAAACACAAAACTAAATTGCCTACTAAGTCCACAGCCTCCTTCCAAGGTGGCCCTAAGCAGTTCCTCTTGCCTAATCTTGCTAGGATTCACTGAATTCAGTCAGACAGGTGCTTTGACTCTAGTCCCAAAAGATTTAAAGAAGTTTTCAATAAAGGACCATTTGTCATGATGCCACATTTCCAATTTTTCAGATTTATAGCAAATATGTTTATGAAGAAAAATCACGTCAATTATATTAACAGTATGCTCTTCCAAAAGAATTATTAAAAGATGTGAATCTGGAGAAAGAGATAAGCTTTTTATAAAATTTTTTTTCCTTGGAGAACTCATCCCTCTGAACCACCTTCCTGAGGACCAAACAGTTCATACTGGCTCCTCTTTAAAAGCTTTCATAGCTCACAG